TGTAGAGATAGATCTGATCCTCGCGAGTGATCTCGGAAGGATCTTGTTCACGATCGGAAGTAGCGGCACCGGGCCCCGTCCAATCCATACTATATGGTGCCATAAGCTTGGCGACATTCTCTGGTATAGTGCACATTTCGTCTCTTTGCAAAAAGTCCATAACGACATTGTTATCCAGAATCTCCTTATCACAGTGGATGATCATGCGAGTCACCTCTTCGGCTGGGTATTGAGAGAACTTGGACAGAGCAATCTGGAAGTTCTTGGATAGATCGTTCGAAATAATTTGTTTCTTGGCCGCGCGTTGCTTGGCACCAGTGCTAGCCCCGAATATCTTCGTTTCTTTGGCCATAAACAATCGCTCAACCTCGTCCAATACACCCTTCTTGGCAAGCTCAGTATATTTTTCTTCCTTCTGCTCAGCAGTCGGTGCGTGACCAGCCCAAACAGTCACTTGAGGAGTGTCGACCTTGTCCCAATGCAGAGCCTTGAGCTTCTTTTTAGGTCGAATGGATGGCATGTGGATTGTAGACGGAGAAACATCTCCAACCATGTATGCCGGTCTCCAGCCTGAGCCTAAGGCAGCGTTGGGTGGTGGAGGCGGGGGGATCATCAGACCCTTGGCTCCAGGGATAGGGGGAGGAGGTGGAGGAGCGATTCCACCGCCACCTGGAGGCGGCGGCGGAGGCAATCCAACTCTCCCACCGGGGGGCGGAGGTGGAGGCGGCAGTCCAGGAACACCCTTGGCACCACCTGGTGGTGGGGGAGGAGGCAGTCCAACTTTTCCACCCGGGGGAGGCGGCGGCGGCGGAAGAGCGGCACCCCCTGGTGGAGGTGGAGGAGGAAGAATTTTGCCTCCTGGCGGCGGAGGTGGGGGAAGAGCCGTAGCTCCCGGCGGCGGTGGAGGAACGAGCTTGCCCCCTGGAGGAGGGGGGGGAGGCAGCATAGTCTTCGTAGCAGCGTCGTTGTCTTCTAGCTTGGGTACTTGTTCCCCTTCAACGGCATCGGGATCTTCAGCATCAAACTTAGGAACCTTGGAAGCAATCTCGCCTAGCAAGCCAGTAGCCTGGGCAGGGTCCAAACGAGGACGATGCATTTCCACCAGGCGAGGCTTCTCGTACATCGGCTTGCCATTGCTATCTAGTGGAACGTCCTCCTCATCTTCCATAGTCGACTCCATCGTAGGGATATGGCTGCGCTTGCGGTAGACAGATCCCAAAGAACCAGGGTCAAGGTGTCGGCGGGTTGTTTCAGCAAACTCCTCACTGTCATCTCCTTCGCCTTCCATCTTCTCACGCAGCTCACGGAGTCGGTCTGATGGTCCATGCTGGCCCCAGACCTTGCCCTCCAGCTTGAACTGGGTCTTGGTCCGCTCGAGCTGGCGTTCCAGACGTTCCATGAGTCGTTCGCGGTCCATTATACCGGGCATCTGGGACGGATCTGCTGCCTCCGCCGTATCGGGGTTGTTGGCCTTTCGGGCATTGGCAGCGGCGATATCCTGGGCATCTCGGAGCATGAGGTATAGCTCTCGGGTTTCCAGCTCATTGCGTTGCAATTCCTGAGCACGCAGTCTTTGTACTTCTGCAACTTCGGCCTTGAAGGATTCATTTTGCCTTTGTTGCAGCTCAATAATGCCAGCCTGTTCATCGATTTGCTTTTGTAATTTCAAGACTAGGCCTTCTGCGCCGAGCTCAACCTGCGCTCGCATCTCATCGCGCTCAGCAATGGCAGCCTCGGCAATCTGCCGGGCCTCGAGAGATTCGTCATAGACCTGTCTTGCCTCAGCATCCGTGTGCAGCCGATCTAGCAGACTCTGCACGGTGAAGGTCAGACCCTGTCGAAGATCAAGGTCGGGCAGCCTCCGGTCCATGGCCACGTAGCTCAGCATGGCGTCTACCAGCTGGAACATACGCAGCCCTTCCTCGCCGGAGTTCTCCCGGATAAGGAGCATATGCTGCATAGCCGAGAGGAAGTAGTCATGGGACCGGCTTCCGTTGATCTTGGACGTGATTGCATCGACGATTTGCATGGGATCGCTCATGTCCTTGACTTCACCCTCAATGCTATCCTTCATGCTGCTGCCCTCCCGTTGGAGGAGGTCCTCGTAATCGATGGCCTCATTCTCGCGGAACCGCTCAATTTGCTTGTCGATAACGTCATATTGGAATCCCTCCATCTTCGTCAACAGACGCTTGATGCCACATGATGTGAATTGGGCGCGGATGTGGCAACGCAGCTGCAGGTCCGTTTCTGCTCCGTCTACCAGCATATTTATGAGGATCATGGTTGAGACCGCGTACTCCATAAGTAGGTTCTCCATGCCAATGCCTCCACTGCGGTACTCTTCGCTGGCACCGACCAGACTTCCCATCTTTCCGCGGCCGTCAATGGTGACCTCGACAATACGCATCCAAGCATCAAAGCGACCGGTTTCATTGTGATCATGTTTGACCTTGTCCATGGATTGTAGAACTTTATGGTGGCCTTGTCCATCACCCCAGTGGCACAAAAAAGTGAGGACTTCGCTGACAAGTTTCCGAGTATTAAGGCGCGGTGATGATAATGAACTGACGAGTGCAACTAGCACATTCTGATGTTCGAGAGCATCGTCTGCGCCATATTTATTGTTCATTAGACCTTTCAGACATTTGGCGATATCGTATTCCCGGTCTAGATCTTTATCGCCTGTAGGGGGAGCCGGGACAGGACCAGAGGCTTTTCTTCTGTTGATCTTCAAGAGGACATTGGTCAAAGCGATTTGACCTTGGGCTTCAACAAAGGCTTTCACCCAGCTGTATAGTTATTAGTGATATGCACGGTGTCGAGAACAAGGGAATCTCATACCTGATTGGCTGTGTCCGCAAGCTGACACTCAAACTAGCGAGCTGCTTGGATGTAATGGTGTCATCCATCACCTTCTTCACATACCATTCCGGGCTACCTTCTTCATCGGCACGTTCAAGCAAGCCGGATAAACCGTCATGGCCATGAGTTTGTCGCGCATTTTGTCGTCTTTTTTGTTCACCTTGCAACTCTGTCAAGCGATCCTGATGTACCAATGTCCATTTCTTTGAGGCGGGGTACGACAACATCTGCCGTTTGGCCTGTTCGGGAAGATTTTGCCAGCCTCGCTTCTGCATCAGCTCTAAAAACAGCTGATCCACAATGCGGTCATCTCTCGGTCGAGTGAGGTAGTTATCTTGTGGGCGGGGGACAGCGGCCGGTACAGAGATCTGGTGGGAGGATCCCGCATTTGATAAGCGGCCGGAGCTGGAGCTGGGGAACATGGCAGTCCGATCACCAGAATGCGAAGTTGTGAGAGTGCGAGAGGAATTGTCCGAGGAGAAATAACTCGAACCACGCGTGTTAGAGGAAACGGAGGAGTAGATGCTGGCTTGGTCGAGGGAGGTGCGGGAGTTGGAGGACGAATCAATAGAAGAGGGGTTGTGGTTAGACCCATTGTTCGCTGCGGAGCTTCCTGGCCGTCCCGTTTGTTGCTGTTGCTGTCTGGCAATTCGATCACTGGAATTGCTGCTGCTCAGGGTACTGTTTGAGCCGTGTGGGGGAGGACGAGGACCAGAAGGATGCGGGGCGTACCCATTTGGCGCGGACGTAGAGGTCACAGTCGGATATTGATGATAGTCACCTCCAGATTTGCCCAGATGGTTAGGCGAAGGCTCGTGGCGCGACGAGCCAGGACGAGACATGTTATCGATTGGAATCGGGGTCCTGGTATCCGTGGGAAGGCTTTCAAAGGGGATGGAGGTGATAACCCCTGAGGTATGTGCGATACTGCCTGGGTCGAAATCATGGGTCATGTCGACAGATTGAATCGAAGACCGCTTCGAATAGCGGGACGAGCGTGAGCCCGCGGCGCTTCCCGGGGGTGCTAGGCTATCGTAGGAACCTCCATAATTATCATATCGTTCCTCTGTCGGCTTCTCTTTGTACAACTTTCGCCCGAAGAATGATTTCCCACTCGATGTTTGCCTAGATTTGTCGGCTTGTGAACTAGTTGGCATTTTGGCGGGCGTCACTAAGATGAGGCAGGGCGCAGCATAAGGGCCCCTCCAACACTGTCGGGAACGGTATTAAATAAGGGTTTCGCGATATGGCGCTGTCGATCGCAGGGGATGTGGGAGAAGACAATGACATTCAAATTGTGCGAAAGTGGCTCTCTGTTTTTGTCCCTCCCTGGCTAGTTAGTATACCCGTTGCGACGGCGGAGTCGCGAAAGACTGAGGGGTAAGGGGATTCCTTCACGGCACTCACCCCACAAAGAAAGCAAAATAAGAGAAAAGGAAATTAACATGCGCTTCCTGCAAATGTCGAGTCCAGTTTGACGCCAGGATCAAAGCCCGAGCGTTCTTCTAATCAGTCTATTGATATTAGGGGGCTTGCCCCGGAGAAACTCCCCGACCGTGCACGTGATCGTCGGAGTCACGTAAGCTTATACTTGGCAAGGCTGACGTCCAGGCCATGAGAACGTGTGATAAAACACCAACTGTTGAAGTTGAGCATCTATACTCGTACTGTCAGCCATATATCAGCGCTATTTGAAGAAATGATCCCTGTATAGTCTCGTAGACAGTATGGAAAGTGTGGATAGATTCACAACAGCGAGATAGAGACCGACTACTACTTCGGGTCTGTCCACCGCTAGCCGGAGGGCTTAACTGCCAGCTAGAACAGGTCCCTCATTTACCCTATCATCTATTCCGGGGTATATATCTTTAGCTAGCACCTACCTCGGACATAGCCCGTCTTTTCACGCTTTGTGTCCGTTCGCAGTCAAAGAGAGAGTGGAGGTAACTTGAATGGCTGTTTTGGGTCCGGTGGCACAGGACCCCTGCAAGCCTTCGACCTTCGTATGTTATAGTCCTGATAAAAGATTAGATATATAAGTATGGATGTAGCCGGCTCTCATGACATTTTATAATCTAATTCTCGATGCGATTCGAAGCTAGCGACTAGGTATATATATCGGTATTGATACTAGGATGTCCTTCACTCCCATTAACGATATACCCCAACTTAACGGGAAGATAATCCTCGTCACTGGAGCAAATTCAGGTCTCGGTAAAGTCGCAGCGATGGAATTCTGTCGTCACCAGCCGGCTCAGGTCTGGCTCGCAGCTCGCGGTCTCGACAAGGCCCAAGCCGCTGCTGATGAAATCAAGCAGCAGCTCCCTCATGCACCTATTAAGGCGCTGGAGCTTGACATGTCCTCATTTGACTCCGTTAAAAATGCTGCGAAAGCATTCATGTCTAGCTCCGAGCGGTTAGATATTTAATGCTGAACGCGGGTATTATGGCCACGCCTTCAGCCCAGACGAGGGACGGCTGTGAACTGCAATTTGGCACAAATCATATGGGCCATGCACCCCTCACAAAGATCCTACTACCGGTTCTCGAGCAGATGGCACAGGAGGGAGCAGATGTCCGAGTCGTCTCAGTATCGTCTCATGCCCACTTCTATGCACCGCCCGAAGGCTTCCAGTTCGACACGCTGAAGACACCAGGGGACACACTCACCGCTTTTTAGCGGTATGGTCAGAGTAAACTAGCTAATATCCTCTGGGCACGACAGCTGGCAGCATTATATCCCAGGTTCACCGTCGCCTCGGTCCATCCAGGGGTGGTGAAAACGAATCTTTTGTCCGGCGCAACGAATGCACCGCCGATCTTTCGTGCTGTTTTTGAAGTGGCACATGCCTTAGGATTGAAGTCCAGTGTAGGGAATGGCGTGAAAAACCAGCTATGGGCGGCTGTTTCTAAGGATGTCAAGAGCGGCGAATACTACGAGCCTGTTGGTGCAGCTGGCCTGGCAAGTGCACATGGAAACGATGACAAGCTCGCAAAGGATATCTGGGAATGGACAGAGAATGAGCTAAGAGAACATGTATGAAACTCGGACTACCTATATAGGTAGATAGACTCTCTGTCCAACATTGGTGTGCATCTTCCAATAGTTTCATGTTATTGTTAGAGTGCCTTGGGGATAAGGTTACATACCTGTAGTCTGAGTGTCTATGAAATTGATACTATTTTGAGTGACAAGGGAGTGACGTATAAAAGAATCAAAACAAAAGTGACGATATCCCGAGTTGCCGAGCCGTTTGTCGATCTGCCGATCCTGCCGTGTGCTGTTCAGACCCGTGGGACCTCGCTCCGCAATCCTCGCATACCTACAACATAGTAACCCCAGCCATCACCACCTACCATCCTCTCTTAGGCGTGCTTTAGAGCCTAATCCTACAACACCCAGTATGGGGTCAACAAGTGTCTTTGCCAAGGTGCGTGCAAAACCCCCTATCCTGACATACAAGGCACACCAAAAGAACCCAAATAAACCAAACTAACAAACCCGCCCACACAGACAATACTTATCCCAGCCGCAATCGCATTAGCAATCTACATTCTAGCCTCATGCGTGATAATCCCCTTCTTCCGCCGCTACCACCAGCGCTACTCGCAATACCTCCCGCTACACAGTATATCCGCACACACACTGTCCCTACGCGACCGCATAGCCGACAAAGTGATGCATTTCTTCCTTCCATCTCGGTGGCGGCGGGGCACGCAAATAGCCGATCACGATAACATCAGTATTGACGATGAGGAAGGGGAGATCATGGTTGGGATGGATATGGATTCTGAGAGGCGAGGCGCCCTGGAGCAACGGAGACGTGATACCCTGGCTGAGACGGAGGGTCGTTTGAGTCGGGATCTGGAGGAGGGGTTTATGGATGATAGTGATGAGGAAGGGAATGAGGGGCCTAGGAATGGACGGGGAGGGAGGCTTTGAAATGTTGAAGATCGCGTTCGCATATACATATTTGCATTCTTGGGGTTGGGGTTTTTGTTTAGGGATGTTTTGCAAGACTGGATGGTTTGGGTTCGTATATTTGTCTAGTGTTTCAGACATGGTTACCTGTGAATAGAATTGTTGTCTTTCTTGTAATTGCATGGGGACTTGAGCTATCAGAAATTCATATACATGTACATATTTGCCTATTGCTACCAATCATACTTGATCATCAAGAATGTCTAAAATCGGTTGTTCTTCACATTCTAGAGTCCACCAAAAGGGGCTCGATTAATCTGGTGAGATCGACATTGCTCCACCGATCACCATGCACCACTCTGCATATTATACTCCGTACTCCATCTAGAGTAAGGATTACAAAAATCTCAAAATACACTCAAAGTGGAAAAGAAGTAAAGGGTGTAAATATTATTCATTGGTATCATGAAAAGATGCTACCTTTTTCAGCATCGCCCATGCCATCGTGAGCAATGGGACTGTTATGAACATTTAAACATAAAATATGAAAGGAAGCCTCTCAGTCGGAGAGTACTTCACACTGCGTCATGCAAGGACACTTTCTACTTGCGCTGACCGTAGGCCTTGGTGGCGTAGTCACCCTTGTGGACGATCAAGTCCTGAGGACGGTAGTCCTCACGGCCGGAGAAGTAGCTCTCGAGAATGTCCTTGGTACCGTTGGCATAGCGGACCTGAGCATCGATGGAGGTACCGGACATGTGGGGAACCATGCCGTTGCCGCCACCCCAGGGGTGCTCGGCGTAGCGCAGAGGGTGGTCCTTGGGGGCAGGCTGGGGGAACCAGACGTCACCACCGTAGCCACGGAGGTGACCAGACTTGAGGGCCTCGGCGACATCCTCCTTGACGACGATGGCACCACGGGCGGTGTTAACGAGCCAAGCACCGGGCTTCATCTTGGAGATGAGTTCCTTGTTGAAGAGACCGCGGGTCTTCTCGTGCAGGGGGCAGTTAATGGTGACGACGTCACACTGGGCGAGCATCTCCTCGAGGTTCTCGACGCGACGGCAACCGATCTCCTTCTCGGCCTCGGCGGAGAGGGGCTGGTAGTCGTAGTAGAGGAGCTCCTTGCAGTCGAAGGGCTTGAGGCGGCGGAGGACACGCTCACCGATACGGCCGACGGCGACGGTACCGACGACCTTGCCCTCGAGGTCAAACTCGTTCTTGGCGACGGCGGCGACGTTCCAGTCGCCGTTCTTGATCTGCTCGTGGGCAGGCACGAAGTTGCGAACCAGGAGGAGGATGGTCATGACGACGTGCTCAGCGACGGAGACGACGTTGGAGCCGGTGACCTCGGCAACGGTGATACCGCCGTTGGTGGTGTTGGCAGCGTTCAGGTCAACGTGGTCGGAACCAATACCGGCAGTGACGGCGAGCTTGAGCTTCTTGGCCTTGGCCAGACGCTCAGCGGTGAGGTAACCGGGGTGGAAACTGGTTTATCGTTAGCCGGGAGCTTTTGAAAGTTCATGCGTGAGAAACGAACGGAGTGGTGATGATCACTTCAGCGTCGACAAGCTCCTTGTCGAAGGTGGAGTTCTCGCCCTCCTTGTCGGAGGTGGTCACCAGGGTGTGACCCTGGTCCTCGAGCCACTTGCGGATACCGAGCTCGTTCTCGGTGGTACCGAGCAGCTTAGGCTGCTGCTTGGAGTGCTCACCACCCTATATCACAGAAAATACTGGGTCAACGATTGAAGTATGCAAATTATGAAAGGAGAATGACTTACATCGTAGAGAACCAAAAGGACTTTGCCCTGGAGATTCGCAGTTGCGGTTAGTGTACGTGCACCGGAAATAGAGCCAGCCAAAGGTGAAGCCCGAATGAATGGGCTGGAGGCAACAGTTGGGTTGAGAGAGCTCGAGAGGAAGGGCTGTCGTAATTGACGGGAAAGAGAGCGAATAAATACCATTGTGAAGGATTATAAAGTATTTTTGAGACGAGGCTAGAAAAGAGGTCAGCATTCTCTTATATCCATGGAAGCATAGTTAATGAGGTCAATGTCCAAAAACGGCGGCATGAGCTAATCTGAGCCAGGACCAGTCCACGGGTGGACGGGGAGAGTGGGGAATATTGCAGGCCAAGAGATGTGATCCGGGTATAGGGAAACGATAAACGATAGACTTACAGGTAGAGTATATAAAAGTAGAATGGAGTAGAATAGATGAGAGTTGGATAGAGTGGGAAGAAAGAAATGGGAACAGCAAATGGCACCGGTTATATATCCCCCTCTCTACAGAGAGGTATTGCGCATCCCCTCAAAAAGTAACTGGGACGCATAGCAACGGGAAAGCCGGGCTTGACTGGAGACGAATCCATTTGGAGATCTCTCCGCATGAGGGACAGGAGACTGTATAATCCCTTTTGAGAATATTATGGCCTATCATCTTAGGACTTACGTAGCTTGTCGTGTACCTAGGTATCCACAGGTACCCATATATGGATGTATATTATTGTAGTTCCATGTACTAGCACTATGGAATTATTGCATATGTACGTATGCGATCTTAACATTGGAAAGCTCTCTATGAACGTGCGGGGCACTTTGGTGATATTGTATACAGCTACAAACTCATAGCTAACACGTAATAACGTTCCCGAGCAGTCTATCTTTCTTTCTTCAAGACTGTAATATTCCAAATCACTATTCCCACCGTCTCAACATCTTACCACTTACCACACCATCAGCCCACCAAAGATGGAATGTTACCCCGCAGCGGGGTAACTGACATAACAAGCTGACATAATGAGGGGTAAGCCCAAACCAACCTAACCACAACTATCCAACCAAATACAGAACTGACCCCAATTGACTCCCCAATTATTGCAATAATTAACATTTCAAATCTGCAAGCTCATGTAAATCCTATCTCACAAGGTACTAAAACGCCCCAAGTTCCCCAGTTCCCCAGTTCCCCAGCACCCCATCCTACGAGCCATGTCGAACAATTTCCGCCCTTCTGCCGAAATTCGGCCTCTGTGTCACCTTCTCCAACTCCGGCCCCGCTACTTTCATACCCACGACGTGCATTGCCTCCTCGCGAGGAGGTTTTGGAGAAACAATCTGGGGTCCACTAATGAGCTTCCGGATCAGATCATGGACAAGGTCACGGAAAGCATAACCGCATCAAGAACTCAAGCAGGGCGGATTTCTTTTTTTTAATCCACCGTATCCCGGGTCGAAGGTCCAGTTTGTTCGTCTTCCGCTGCGCGTTTGCTTCGGTGTACTGGACGGCAGATCAATTGAGACGACTTCACGTTTTGCTTGGGACTGTTCCCCGATCGGACATTGGATTGCATTGCTGCGACGTGGTGCCTATCTTAGGTGTCGAAAAGCTAACATGGATCATGACCAGAAAATCGTCGAACATTTATCCGACAAGACTGATGTTATAGTTACGAGCCACCCTCTGATCGCCGGAAAGCTTGTACTCGCGTGGTGTTCCGACGTACGATATCCTAGCTACCGCTCCGACCCACCGTCGATCCCAAATCACTTACTCGAATTTCGACCTGTGCAATCAGAATAGTCGGAATGGAGTTTCGTTAGAAATTGTTTGCGTGATACAATGCCTCCAATCGGGGCTTCGGCGCATATCGTGTTGTCGCGTGACCAGTGCGGGGCCATTCGATTCGACTCGTCACCCTCGAACTCCCTCTAGGGCTGGAATTGCAAGCAATATGGAATCGTGCAGTATGGAATCGCGACGTGATTTCATTTTAAAAACAGAGAGTCTGCAGTCTTTACAGCCTCGAACACTGTTCATAACCATTCATTGCCATTTCTGTCCTATTTAACACATTCACAGTTAGACCCGAAGGAACTGAGGGACTGCGTCCGCCTCCACAGAGACCTTATCCAAAATTCACAACCGACAAGAGTAACCGTAAACTCATTACCAGTATCCTTTTAACCTACGATAGTCCAGTGTCAACACGGGATCGCCTTCCATATCAACCTGCCGCTGCGGCGGCTCAACGCGTTCATACACACAATGGTGCGAGTCCGCATAATCCCCTCAACCATACTCCCCTTCAACCAAATGACCGCTACCATATAATGCAGACAATAATCGAGGTCCGCACTTTCACAAGAGCATGCCTTCTATCAACAATTCGACAAGTCGCCTCATGAGTGCGGACATGTATGCACCGAGTATCTCGCACGGTGTAAATACCATTATCAGTCATAACGAGCAACCGTCCCTCAGCCGACATGATTGCAATACACCATCTCTAAAACTGATGATCCAAGAGACGGAACCTGCAAAGCCTTGCCACCGAACTATATTTTGATAAAACCCCCGATTGGGAACATTTAACACAGCGGGGACACCGACTGGTCTGCTTGCACGAGTAGATATATGTGCACAGCATGCATCCAGGCACTACCAGCTGTATCCACTTCAAAGGTGTACAACACAATACAAGTAAATCTGAAGATCCATTCCCAAGACTCAAGTTCACATGCCAAGGTTATGCAAGATCAGCATGCGTGTACATTGTAGACCCTGTGTCGATCTTATGAAAAAGATATATAGTTTGCATCGCCTGTGAAACATATGGCTTGTATAATTAGGGTAAAATCCTTCCGGAAAGGGAAAATTGCATAAATGATCTGTTTGAGTCTTGCAGATGTAGCTTACATATCTACAGTCAGCGTTCATTAGTATTTAACATTTACAGATTCGACGAGCCTATCACTAGGTAACTACCCAGTGCTAAGCTCAGAAGCACGTCGATCTGCATTGTGCAACAGGCTATGTGTTACCCACGCTATTGTATCTGCATTTGGCCTTGAATAGATATGGTGATTTCTAAACAAGGGTCCTTATTAAAGAACATATGAATACCCGAGAGGCGTTAATAAAGCACAAGAGCCGAACTCCTTGATATTGTGAAGCTATCGCCATGGGCTCGACCACATCTGATCAGTCCCCATCATGCGGTAAAATCCTCATGTTGCATGGTAAGAACGCTTTGCTTCTCTTTCCTGTAGAAGTTGAGCAGTCAGTTTGACCCACGCGCTTCTAGGACACGGCCAATCTGGACAGTTTTTCCAATGCAAAACTCGATTTATGAGGCAGTATATGGAGCAGACCGTGCTCAAAACCCTGCAGCAGGACCGTACTCGCCAAATCAGCAGCATGGAATTCTATTACCCTTCAGGTCAACTGCGAGCCGATCCGGAAAACTGGAACAAAGACGACGACACGCGTGCCTGGGGTCATGGAGACCCAGAAACAGAGCATATCCAAGGTCTTGAAGAGTCCGTTCAATATGTCTCTGATATCCTTGAGAGACATGGACCTTTTACCGGGATCATGGGGTTTTCAACAGGCGCCGCCTTGGCTTCTATTGTTACCTCCCTTCTTGAAAAGAGGAGATCGATCTGCAACTTCAATATGACAGTAAGCATGTCCGAGTACGAGCCTTTTTTTGTTGGTGACTTATGGTTTCCATTTTCTAGCGAGATCACCCCTCGATGGAGTTTGCTATTTGCATGAGTGGTTTTCAGCTAGCACACCCTGAGTATGCGCCGATATACTATCCCAAGATCAAAACTCCAATACTTCATGTCATGGGATGTTTAGATCCAATGATTGATCCGTCCCGGTCCTTACGGCTAGCAAAGAAGTGTGTTAACACTGAGATTTACCAATTCTGGGGGACTCATTATGTTCCTCGAACGCGAGACTTCCTGAAAGTTTTTGGTCGATTTGTTGAAGGGATTCTGATTGGCAGAGATGATGAGAATGATTGGGAATCATACGAGTGATAACTAGATGCTACAGGTAGTATATACGAGGGCTTTTAAGGGCCATCGCGACAACCGGCCTAATCGGGCTGCCTACATATGTACCTCTATATACCGGATTTTAGGCCGTGGATGCGAATTTCCCGATCGGGGTGCCGCCGCTTTATGAGGACGCTCAGGGTCCTGCTCACTGAGTATTTCACAGTACAGGGTGATTGCTCAGTGAGCACTCAGGGTATGCTTAGTAATGTTCAAATATTGCTCGGTGAGCACTCAGATTTGCTCAGTCAGCACTCGGGTTTGCTCAGTGGACGCTCAGGGTATGCTCAGTCAGAACTCAGGTCATGCTCACTGAGTACTCAGACTATGCTTAGTGATTGCACAGACATACATATCTTACGGCCCGAAAATAAAGGCCGAAAACGAGCAGTTTAGACACGTGATAGGTTGATCACTTTTGACCTATCTATTCCGTGATACTAGCGCTAGCAACTAAAACCCTTTTTAGTGTACTATCCTTTTTATCGATTGCCTCTATACTAGAAAATGTATTCTAATATAGCCGCCGGAAGGTAATAACGTATTAAAATATATAGCTAGTGCTTTCGCCCTATCCCGACTATAGCTAGGATAATTCCCACGTATTGTGAAGGGCTAAAGCAATACTTAAATTCAATCTGACTGGGCCACAAACTGTGTATAAAAAGCTTGGAGAAGAGGAGTGGAATAAGCAGGACAGCAAGAAGTATGGAGCAGGGCGGTGGCAGAACGGGGGCGTACGGGGGAAAGGCTATATGGCAGGGCCATATAGTGAGAAGCGGGTCTAACCCGTTAAAAATCCGCGCTCCAGAAACTGCGGACTTTCGAGTTCATGACCCAGCAAAACTCCGAAACGGTCACTCTAGCAGGCGATGAACGTAAAATATCCCTAGCGAGTTTATTGCCACGCCCATTTTGACGTCTGGCGCACCGAAGAGAGGGAGCTTGGTTCTTTCAAACAATTAATGGTGTCCGAGGAACGCATCAAGTCGAGGTCAGCAAGTCGCGGAAACCGTCAATAATATTGCCCATAAACTTCAATCTAGCCTAGTCACGGAAGCTTGTCCGGCTACTGTTCGACCGAGATGCGCATTGAATAACCTCCTAATAGAACTCTTTGCAAACATTACCACACCGTAATAGCGGTAGGTCTAGGAATGAGAGATCGACGCCAGAGTTCGATTCCGCCAGGTCAACGAGACCAGTCAGCACGTCGCTTAGAGCTCCTAGCTCGCCGAGGAGGTCGCGCACACGCTTGGGATGTGAACGGAAGCTGTCCACTATCTTATAAAGTGAAACACTATTGAAATGCAAACGTCGCTAAAGTAAGGATTCTAGAGGCTAGCCCGGTTGGTTCAGCTATATTTTTCTTCGTGTTGTGAAGAAGAAAACGGTTTAAGAGCTTTTTAAGAGCCTAGAAGGGCATTTATATTATAGAAAAGAGCACTAAGTGGCTTTAAGTTGTAAGCGCTAGGTTCATTTGCCCTAAGATGCTTTAACTAATATTTAAGAGCCTTCCGAGGTTATACTCTATAGCGTATTACCCCGTCTAGGCATTACTAGTACCTAAGTAGACGTTCAAAATCAATAAGATAAGTCTAGGCATCGTAGAGCCTTAGGCTTTAAAATAAGAATTAGGTTTTGCTTGACGAAAGCTTTTCTGAGTTTCTAAAGGGCCAATTTAGCCACGGCTCTTATTTATCTTAAAATTCTTCTCCGCAACCTTAGAAGTACGAAGTACCCATCCTCAGACTAGTAGGCCTCAAAATGTATCTAGTCACTAATGCCGTTAAGTTCCTTCACCTGCGCGACATCTTCAAAAAAAGTAGCGCCATACTCTTTCATGATCTGTATCCTCTCATCCATATTCATCGCAAAACTCATTCTCCCGAAATCTAGGGGCATTTGGCTAGCACTCCCGTATCTCAACACCCATACACCCACTCCATCCGTCGGCCAACCATATACCATCACTTTTTCTTCTTCCTCCGTGATCTCTCTCAGTTGCATCATCACTTGGACCCACTCCTTCTTACTTGGCCAAAAATTCGCACCAATGCGTCGCATGAGATTACAGAATCTGTCTTCTTCGTCGGCACTGGGTGAGCGCTGAGATGGATGGGTGCGGGGGACCGATAGGAAAAGCATGTCGAGAAGGTCAGGACCATCTTTTATGAGAACCCCGCCAGTGGAGGGGTAGCCGTAGACAACGCATCCTCCCGGACCGAAAACAGTCCGTTCAGTCGTCGATGGAGCAGGACCTATTGGTGCGATGATCCTTGAGTCAGGCATTAATGTTTGTTGAGAGAAAATAGAGGAAATGTCGATGGGAAGCGAGCAGGCAATGATTTTTTGGCAGAGAGCCGATAGAAAGTTGAAGATGATGGCGACGAGCATGCTGCTAAACCTCATGTTTCAATAAGGCAACCAACAGGATCAGACCGATGTTGCGTATCACGTGAGTCGACCCCAGAGATTCAAGTTCATGAGAGCTCTCAGGGTCATGCAGATGACCGTTTTAATATGTACTGTGTAGGAATTGGGAGAAGCTTCCTTGAGCTGATTGGGCAGGGACCTTGGTATTAGGGTGTATCCACTGGTTCGGCCCGACCGATCCGATTATTGTTGCCTATAGTCCAAGGCATCAACCCAGGCCAAAATAACTAATTCAGGGCTAGTTACAACCTGGGGCCACCCAGACTAATAGGAAACGCACGTGAGAAATGGCCCGAGCAAACGATCTCCACTCTAGATGTTGAAATCCAGTCTTTCACCAGGCATACTTTTCCGAGGACTCATTTTTGAACAGTACCTCAAAACTATGACCATAATAATTAAATTGTAGTCGTTACAATTTGACGATGGGGTGAATCCAAGGCCAGAAAAACAATAATTTCATTTTTCGGAGAATGGTATGCAGATCAACGGTTAATTCGAATCCTGCAGGCGGTTACGCGTTGAATAGCGTCAGGCTGGGAAAATCGATCACCAAAGAACGGCCCATTTGCTTTCACCGGCAGTTAGCATGACATGACCTTACTCGAGATCGGATGGACTATTTTCCGAAGAGACTGCACATCCTATCGCCTTCACGTCGAAGAGCAGAGGCCAGTAGACACGAGGGGATGGGCGAGTACTGTATTAGCTAAAAATGAGTACGAAAAATTCCATTACAGGGTTTACAAATTCGTTCAATGACTATTTGCTAAGGTCCGCGGTTAAATTTTTTTCTATGTTGATTCCAAGCCTATTTTTGCAAATTCAGGAGAGGGTTTGACCAAGGGCAAAAAAGTACCAGCTCACAAGTGGTCGTCAATTCGCGTTTGTCTCTTCATGAAGTGGCTTTGCATGTTCCCTCTGCGATTGCGATTAACCATTCATTTCTGAGCACTGAAAACAAAAATATATCTATAGTGGGGTGATAACATGAACACGATTGCTCCCGGGAGGTAATTTACTGCTCCTAGAGCGACCTTAGCTCCCAGGAAACAAGAGCCTGATCCTGGGGACGAGGTACGCAATCCTAGGACCGTCGCAAGAGCGGCTAGGAGCTTAAGTGCTCCTAGGGTACTACCGCCTACTCGTAGGAGCTAAACAATAACTCAAAGATACCGCCACAATTGCAGACTGAGTCTCATAGTGCCCCGCACTACAGAATGTAGCGAGTATTACGGAGGGCTCAAAGTCATGTAAAGCTTCCCACAAGATCCGAAGCACAACGCTCTAAGATTGTCATTACACAAGGCCAGTTTATTATTAGTGTATTTTACATAGATGCTTAAGTCTCAGTTACTGTAAGCATACTGTAAACTCTTTTAACTATGAGTCAGACAACTTTGAGGTGTTTTTTTGCGGGTGGGCCGCTCCCATGATATTTTTGTAGCAGGCCAACGGATTAATTTGCTATCCACCGCCTTCTTTATTATGTCAGGCCAGCAATCGGCTGCCTCTTGTGTAGTATACCATAGATTATACAGCCCGCAGATATATGATATTTACGTTATTTTCCGATCAACTTATTACAGACGGCTTTTCCTGAACGGGATGCAAATCTGCCGTGACTTTCACCGCTGCCCCAGCTGCTTGGTGTCTGCAAATGATCACTATCGAGCACAGCTCGTACAAAGGACAGTTTTCCACGGTATTTTTAGATTCCACATCTTCGTGTGTTCCATAATTGACATCCCATATTCGTATACTGTATGTTTATAAGAAAAGTGGCCATCCTCAAGGTTTTTGCCACAGATGTATTCCTATCTCAATCGCCCCCAGAGAGCAAGGCGGCAACTCGTAATGATTACTGTCAAGTCTAGCCCCTCTATTAGTTCGAAGAAATCGAAGAGGTAGAGGAAATGCCATCGCAAAACAACTCTGATAAAGAAGGCTTCCAAATATAGCAAAATGTGCGACGCAGATGTATGCGTGGGCATCCGTTTGTGAGAGACCGGCCAGGTGCATGTTTTGACAGCAGATGATTCGGGTTTCTGGGCTTTCCTTGCGTCGCATTTGGTATGCTACAAGCTGCGTGAGACACAGAAGAAGCAGCTAACTTTTTAGAGCGCCCACTACCCCATACCAAGATTTATAACGGATCGAAACTTGGATGGGATCGCTGTCGGCACCGATTAATGCGATCGAGCACTCCGCAGGTGATCGTCATTTTGACTAAACCACTACTATACCTTGGCTTCTAGCGGTTCATAATTCGAGAAGTAACTCGCAGACGTATAGCAGTTTTCGGAATCAGCTATTCTTCTTACACTCTGAGGACTTGATTCCCGGGCAATAAATCCATTCCAATGATATGAAACGTCTCGTTTTTCGATCTAATGGAAATGTCTTATATTATTGGTTGGATTTTATTCCATTCTTCACCCTGGAGTAACACGATCGGGCCGCAACCGAACCCGTCGATCATAACCGTGGAACGGAGGTCCCGCTGAAAGTCCTCCAGGAACTCCGGAGTGGAGATCTACCAAGAATACACACAGAAGACTGCTTGTGGAACATAGGACAGATTTTGTATGTTGAAGGCTTGGCAAGGCATTTCCTAAAGCACCGAATAATAATAAAGGCTTCCCTTGCAAAGATTGTTAATCGGGGCGTATCCTTGACCTTGTATAAGATATTCGCTGGCAACAGCATCGGTGCCAGCGAATGGGACGTTCCACGTATACGTGTAACCACTCTGGGATTGAGGCGCGACACCGATAGAAGACCATGACCATTCCGCATTACCTCGGTCTATGTCATTCCAAGAGCCAGTGTATTTGTAAAAGCCAGAGTAAAAGTCATTTCCTTCGACGAGGTAGTTGACGACCTGGTCGTACATGGTACCATAAACGACGCCTGCTTCAATCGGCCACCCGTGTTTGGCCTTATGTTCTAATATGGTGTCATCAGGTTGTTTGATCCCGATGAATAGCCGCACGAATGCATATGGCACCAGGACGTCGGCTTTATATACAACGGTGTCGCCATCCCGTGTAAAGCCAGCATTAGTGATTGTACCACTTTCCGGTAGGCTTTTCGTGCTCGCCGAGATTAACCGGGAGCTGCCTCCACTGCTTGAAGCTAAGATCGTCCGTACCTCGAAGACGATGCCAGAGGATCCGGGGTCGAGCATGCCAATTGTAGCTCGGGTCAATGAGGCTGGAAGCTCCAGCAACTGTGTACCATCCTTATATACCGCGTAGCCAAGAGCATTTCCAACTGATGACCAGGCGAGGGTGACGGAGCTATAGTCTGAAGAGGAGACAGCCGCGTTGCTTGGAAGACCAGCAACGTAAGAGCCAGTAGCTTTAGCTGGGTCGTTAATGAGTGGCTTGCCACCTGATACTTCGTCGATGAATGCTTTCATATAAGCCTCGCTGGGAAGAGTGTCATAAGGGTTAGGCTGGTTATCATCGGTAATTTCCAATAACCCTGAATGACGGTCACGGGCAAGCGCAGCAACACTCGCAATCTGCTCCTGCGGTACTTTGTAGACGATATGCCAGATCTTTCGGGGATCCTTCGGCGTCCAATCATTAGGTACGAACGAGTTGGTATAAGTCTTATAGCTGCTCTCGAAGGTTAACAGCGTATCCATAGTGTCCTTATAACATTGAGCTATCGGTGAGCCAGGATTGAGCACTGTGAATGCGCCGGGATGCTTGCGCTTCGTGTAATTGTTGATATATGCGTAAAGATCGGCGTAAATATTGTCGGGACCACATTCTGGCCAGCCTTCATCGAAGAAGATACCGCCAAGTCTGCTGCCATATAGCTCGAACCACTTGTCGACATCTTGTTCAATTTGCGAGGCCCAGTCTGCGAGATTATACGAGCCTAGTCGAGTCGTAAATTGCTGTTGACTCACGCCAAGGTATCCAGTCCGAACATAACCAAGGATCTTTTTGCCTTGACTCGCAGCTTGGTCAATCACCGATTTCCAGCTTTTATCGGCTACATAATCTGGACCGTTCATAACATTGGCAACTAATACGCTGACCTTCTCAGTGTCGTATGCCAAGAGTCGTTCCCACGAAGTCGGGTCTCCGAGAGGGTTAATATAAGACGCAATGGCGATCTGCTGGCCGGCGTTCCCTCCCGAACCTGAATCCGAACCTCTATTCGCCGAGCCCAGCTCCTCTATCCAAGTCGAAACTTGCTCGTTATAGCTATCTGGGTAGGCGGAAGCTGGGACAAATCCATCAATGGTTAGAGTAGAGCTGGTTGCGCTCACGTCTAAATCGTCATCACAGCCTGGATAGTCTCCGGTCCAAATCGTAATATCGTCGTTGGAAGTAGTGTTCAAGTAAAAGTCGCTGTCTTCTGTAACGAATGAGGCAAGGCTACCCGGATGTGGGGGCCCGGCGAGTTCGTATGTAACAATGGGTAGGTGAGGATATAAGCCGCCATTTTTCGTCATCACGTATTTAGCCAATGCGTAATATGCCAGATTGTCGGCGTTTCGCTGAACCCAGTATCCAGTAGTGCCCAATGCTGCATTGCCTTGCCAACGTGCTAATACTTTGGTAGCCAGGGGACCGTATGCCTGAACGTCAAGGACTTTGTCTTTGCCATATTTGATTTGAATATCGAGATCAATGACGTTAGGATTAGGATCTGGAGAGTTCGCAGCCACATTCAAATGGAATAACTCATGCTGATCGGTTTTGGTCAGTTCACCGGATTTGTAGAGTCAAAAGCTTTGATCTAGCTCACCAAAAATGTAGCACCTCGGTTATTATAGTTTGCAAGCTTTGCTTTTTCTGGGTATCTGTACGCATTTCCGAATGAAATTGCGTCTGCCAGACTTCTGCGATCGAAAAAGCCTTCGCATAAATTGATCATCGGATAGTCAGGAGAATCTGGGTCAGAGTTCGTCGCATATGCAAGTAGTTCCTTATCTACTTTAGCCTGGACATCACGCTTTGATGAACTGTAATGTATTAGTAAAATCACTCTATACTTATTCGGGACCAACAGAAAGACAGCGCTGCAGTACATACCTGGATTTACACGGATCATCTTCATTGGACTTTGGGCATACATTTGATGGATCATCACATCGAATCTTGATCCAATGCTGGAAGGGATTTTTGTTGCTATAGATGACCGTTGCCGTATTTGCAAAGACTGCCTGGATTTCAGATTGCTGATCTTTGTTCGCCATTGGGGCACCCAGAAACTCCAGTGCCGCTGCGTTGTTCCAATCAATTCTTGAAGCCACTCCTTCAGTGCTGGAAAGTAGAACGAGGGAGTCAGTTTATTCCTTCTTTAGATCATTTTGAAAGAACAAGGATCGATATGAAGGCTGGGATAAGGGGAGAGCTCACGCCACCGTGGACATGATGACTACGAGAGATTGACTTACTTGGATATCAGCCATGCATCATAATAGGCGTCGTCAATTTTGCCCTTAGCTCCTCCGCCGAAGTTCTTTTTGCAGTCAACATAACTATAGAGTCGGGTTCCAACAAGGTTCTCAGGTAAAACAGTTCCAGTTGCCTTGGGGGCATCAGTGCCAGTTGGAATCACTTGGTAAGGAGTCTCATCGCCTAAATCGGTAGGCGCCGCAGCTGAAGTGCAGCTTAGCAGCAAGAAGAACGTTGTAAAAGCTGCAAGGAGAACCATGCTGACGGGCTGTATAGAGTGAAATTCGGATGAAATCCAGAAGAACTGGAAAGACATTATATACTTTATCTCTGGACGCTTCCTCGACAGAGCGGTATATTACCAACGGCATTCATAACCTCAATTGGACAGAACTCCGAGGATTTACCAAATTAGCTTGCTAGTATTATTAGCTGGATTGTTCCTGATTAGTCCCATTTCCAGCTCGGTTAGGAACCGAACAGCAAAGGATTTCATTAGTATACAGTACCCGGTGTCTTTCGCCGCATGATACTGTTGGATGCCGCTACACTACCAATACCGCCTACCGATTTATTACAACAGCACGCTCCTATTTAATGTGTTTATTCTACTTGATTTATTAGATGATTTAGGTATTCGTTGAATACTACTAGATTAGCCGCTTTATTCGTTTGATCTTAATCTAATTAAGAATTTGAATATATGCCCTAGCGGCCAAGGTAACAAGGATCGTATACAAGCTATTAATTAGTTAGTGTGGCGTTAACAACTGCAATCAATTTATTTTGGAAATTACGAGGTTTAACCAGTAGAATGAAAACTTGAACTGCCCTAGAGGGTGGTGGCGAAGTAGCGGGCGAAAAACAAGAGGAGCAGGGCAGTCCTAGACGCTAGCTCATGTAACCCTCGAATCCTGCGAGCTAACCTAATCATGATCCTGGACCCTGGTAAACGTTAGTATCTACCTGGTCGTATATTAGCGACGGCGTTCATGACTTCGATTGGAGATACATCCGAGTATTGAGATTAGCTTTTTTACGTCCAACATGGGATGCTGCTATACGATAACGAGGACATCGCTTAGCGGTAGGTAGAGTGGCGCAGCTCAAGTCTGGCCTGGTGTGATAGATACCGATACCCTACCCCATTAGTTATCTGTCGGGAAAAATACAAGCGTACTGTGCGTGCGTACTTTTTGGCCAAATGACGCATTTTGGTATTCCAGGACATAAGTTACTACTCAATATCTATTTGTGATGGCATTCATGAAAATCAATGATAGTTTCTAATAGAGCATTAAGTTGTATTTGAGTACTAAATAGGATTTTTTTTTGGGAAAGTGCGTGTCTTTTAGGAAGACGGGGGCCGGGGGCGGTAATTACCGAGTCACAGACTTTCGCAGTGCCTCGGCAGAACAACACTTGTATTGTACTTGTAACTACCACTCTACTTAACTATGTATCCGTACACGGGAAGTAATTAGTGTACTAGAACTTCAGTCAGTTTCGTGGGTGAAACGGCGCACTTGCCAGGTAGTGCGTGGGAATTCATCAGGCCTTCAGGTCACAGCATGGGAGTGGCAACTTAATACCACGGCCATTTCAGTATTGTGCTGCGCCAAAATTAGACGTCTTGTCGTTGGCCTAACCATGGTGCCATAAATATTGTGAGTGAGTCGGTCGAATAGCACACAAAAATGTAGTGCTCAAGTTTTTGAAATCGAAATCCAAGAGACCTAGGATTTTGGCACCGTAATCTTAGCTATTTTAAAAATTGGCGAGTTTTAAATTTTACCAATACACAATATTAGCCGTTATAATTATTCATAAGGTTAAAATTATAGTATTGGAGTGCTTTAAATTTACAAAGATATAATATTAGGTCTGTCATAATTATGCATAAGGCTGAAATTAATCAAGGTAAAAATTATGGAGGCAATAATATTAAAGTCGTTCGGTGTTAGCCGGAGATAAGGAGGTGCTCCTTTCTCCACCTTAGAGTAGGAAGACCGGGTAGTCTGGAGCTTCAAGGTGGGGCAAGGAGTAGTCAAGCTAGCCAATGATATTGTGATCCCATATGGTGGGGCACCTATATATATATACCACTACAGCAAGTCAGTTCCCATGAACTGACTTTGCTATGACCTTTTTGGTCAAATGGGTAACCGTGCGGAGCAGTGGCCCGCGGATCTCACAAGTATTGTTCCTGATCCGTCTTAAAACTGTGGCTACGTAGAATATTCAGAAGTGCCGTAATTACTATACGGAGGAAGGTATTGAGCCCGCAGCTGCACTGTAAACAATGCAAACATTGCCTAATTCGGCTTATCCCGTGACTTGTATATGTAATTTATGTAAATTATGGTATTGCTAAGTATTGTGGCTTTCTCGGCGATCCTAGGAACAAATAGCTATGGGCCCTTAGGACTCTGGTAATACAGCTTAGTGGGCTCCTGGGAACGCGCCGCGGGAAGGGTTCTCGATCTTTAAAGAAATCCATCCAATCGCCCTCGCCCTAGTTGTAGTCCAAAGCCCGATAGGGAATCGCCGGGCTGGCAAGCGAAGTATTCTAAGGGGTATTCCTAGGAGCATAGGCTGAAACGGGAAAATGGTAGGTCAATTGAATAGCCCACTGTGAGGTTTTTTACTTGGATAGGATCGAGACCGCTAGAACGAACGGTTACGTTCACTGCGCCAGTCTTTTTTTTGATGGGCGATCTAAATGGGAAGGGTTGCATGCGATGGGATTACGTGTCGCATTTTATTGATGTAGCTTACTCAGGCCGCTCATCCCTACACTCAGTGAGCAAATCAGAGTGCTCAGGTGATGATCAGGTGATGCTCAGTGAGCAGGTCAAAGTGTCACTTTGATTATGTAATGACCCGTGATCAAGTCAGAATACTCAGGGACGTGCTCAGTTTTACTCAGTGATCAAAAAGCGGCAAGGGGTGAGCACTAATACGGAAAGGGAAAGCTATCTCGCTCGGCCTAAAATCCGGTGTATATGTAGGTAGTACACAAGAATAGTTGGCCGCTTATACGTCCTTGTTATGTCTGTTTTAGTGGTCTTTTAGGTGGTCTTTTTGGATATTTCCTTGGATGTATTGTTTCATAGATATTCCTTGCTTTTGTTACGCTATACCACATAAATAAGAAGAATTAGCTGTCACGATCTGCACCAATCTTTCGTATGTAAGTCGTATGCCGGAGATCGGTCAGGACCAGTAGTTTCATTGGAAGAGGCGACTTGATGGATTCGCACATGTATTAAAATAATTAGACTCATATTTTCTGGTAGCAAAAAAGCCGGTTGTGACCCTGAAAACCAGAATAATTGTTATGCAGATCAGACGAATCGACTTTCCAAGGTTGGAAGCTTAAGACGTGTAATCTCTGTAATATCCGAATCTCCGATTTCTCGGATTCGGCGCTCGGACATTGACGTTCTCTTTTATTTTCTGACGTTTTGACATTTTGTCCTTTGAATTTGTCTACTCTCCACCAATTTACACAAGGCCATAACGTTCAATGCGGCCAATACTCGCGCGCAACTGGAGCGGGCGAGCCCATCGAAACTGCCAGACCATCCGCCTACTGTCTAGTGCTCCTCAGCGCAACAGCAGACTCCGCGCCCGCCTGGAAATCCCCCCTCCCTTCCCTGTTACAAAGACATGCCCTGAACCAAGCTGCAATTGTCCACCCACGCCCACCCTGCCGGAAGGTCTACCGATCGATCATGAACAAGCCTTAACTGGGACGATGGCTGCCTACGCGCAACAGCTTCTCGTCTGCACAGGACAGCCAGACTGGACCAGTCGCATTGAGGATGATGGCGAAAACACTGGCTGGGGCAACCTTGTGAGAGGACTGAAGAGCCTGTTAGGTCGTGGTGGGCCATATCTTGATGTAAGTGAATCATATAACCCAACAATGGATGTACGAACTCTTGCTTATACGAGATTTTCATCGCTCCAGCCTTTCAACAATGTCTTGGTCACGAGTTCATCTATCACCCCAGCTGCAGGCTCCTCCTCCACCTCCGCCTCGGCATTCCTCTTCCCCAGCTTCAAATACATTCCCTCAATACCTGTGAAAACAACCTCATCGCCCGATCAAACAACCGAGCTAACGACCTTTGTACGCGCATATCTTCTCCCCGAACGACTCCATGATATGCACTCCTCTCTCCCCGCAACCAAACAAGCAGATATGACCCGATCCCCGGACTTAGTATCAAACTTCCCGGGAGTAATAGACATCAACCACTCTCCGACAGTGTTAATATGCGGACATGGAGGTCGCGACATGCGTTGTGGTGTCATGGCCCCGGCATTGGAAAGCGAGTTTAAGCGCGTGTTGCAAGCACGAGGATTCACCTCCGCAGATAGTGATGGGACCACGGTGGATGGCCCCAAACACGCTAATATTGGTCTGATCAGTCATGTTGGAGGACACAAATACGCAGGCAACGTGATAGTTTATATACCGCCGAAGATGACAGTGGGAACTTCTTCAGAGCCTCACCCGCTGGCGGGTAAGGGGATTTGGTATGGCCGCATTGAGCCCAAGCATGTGGAGGGTCTTGTCGATGAGACTATTCTCGGCGGGAAAGTGGTTATGGATCATTTCCGGGGTGGCATTGACAGGAATGGTGATATTTTGAGGATATAGACTTGGGATAGAGTAGAGTGTACGATGAATAGACGAAACATAAAAGTATTGCCAAACGTTCCCTACAAATACCAAACGACCTCGGCATCTTCATAGTCTCTAGAAAAATGACAGCATACATAGTGCTGATACGCTAGTCCAAATCGGGGCTAAAGTTACCCGAGCTCCGGGGAAGTTTTGAAGATGCGCGAAAACAGTCAGACTTTCAACTCGCGGACATGGCCAATCGCTTCAATTACTCTAATCTCTAAATATTTCAGATACATAATGTTCTGCCAGCCATGCAATCCCTATCACGACTCCGATTAACCAGCGCCGTCGCGCCTGGCCGCATTCACACGCGCCCAACCCTACGAGCCCTCTCACCAGTCTGCACCGTAACCCGGCTAAGCAGCACCTCACCAGGCCGACTAGACCTCCCAGCCCTGGACAAAAAATGGCAAGCAAAATGGGAAAGCGACCGCGCCGTGCCGCGCTCAACACCCGACGCAACGCAAAAGCCCAAATCCTACATCCTGTCCATGTTCCCATACCCCTCGGGCACACTGCACATGGGCCATCTGCGCGTGTACACGATCTCCGATGTGATATCCCGGTTCTATAAAATGCGCGGGTATGACGTGCTCCATCCTATGGGGTGGGATGCATTTGGACTACCGGCGGAGAACGCGGCGATTGAGAGAGGTGTTGATCCTGCGGCGTGGACGCTGGAGAATATTTCGAAGATGAAGGAGCAGTTGAGGTGTATTTCGGCGGAGTTTGATTGGGATCGGGTATGTTGGGTTGAATTTAATGGATTTGGCGGGTTGCGTCGTGGGTTTGGTTGGGATGGATGGCTAACTGATACGGCTAGGAATTGGCTACGTGTTCCCCGGATTTCTATGAGCATACTCAGCGCATCTTTTTGATGTTGTATCAGAAGGATTTGGCGTACCAAGCGGAAGCGTTGGTGAATTATGACCCTGTTGATAAGACCGTTTTGGCAAATGAGCAGGTGAGTCGGGATCAGAGGGTACATTTCGATTTGATCTGATTTTCGTACAGGTTGACGCCAATGGATTCTCATGGAGATCTGGAGCTAAGGTTGAGAAGTTGAACTTGAAGCAGTGGTTCTTTAAGATCACTGATTTCAAGGAAGCACTTCTGAAAGACCTCGATTCTCTTGCCGGGGGATGGCCAGAGCGTGTCCTGTCAATGCAACGCAATTGGCTTGGAAAGTCTTATGGTGCCAAGGTCACATTTCCTATGAGCATTGGACGTGCGGGTGACCACGTCGATGTGAATGTATTCACTACCCGCCCAGACACTTTGTATGGTGTGGAATACCTGGCACTCTCTTTGAATCACCCTATTGTTTTGAAGGCTGCCGAGAAAGACGAGGCACTTCGCAAATTCCTGAGTGATGCGTTGTCGCTTGCACCGGACTCCAAAGCAGGATACCGGCTGTCCGACATTGAGGTATCTCACCCATTGTGCAAAATCGATACAGAAACCCCCCACTTGCTGAGGAAGCTTCCTGTCTTTGTGGCTCCTTACGTCCTTAGCGACTATGGCGAGGGAGCAGTCATGGGTGTTCCGGGCCATGACACCAGGGACATGATGTTCTTTAAGGAAAATGTGAAGCCCGACTCGATCCCTGTTGTTATCGAGGCTGAGCCAAGTGGGAATGAGGCAAACAGCAATGTCGTCCCGACATCAGACGCAAAAGCCTTCACTCAAGAGGGCTTCTTGACTTCGCGCTGCGGAAAGTACCAAGGGTTACATTCCAAGGAGGCATCAAAACTGATTATCAATGACCTGGAGCAGGTCGGCCAGGCCGCATTTGTTGAGAGCTGGCGCCTGAGGGATTGGTTGATCAGTCGCCAGCGATACTGGGGTGCGCCCATCCCCATAATCCACTGCGGGGATTGTGGTCCTGTGCCGGTGCCTGACAAGGATCTTCCAGTAAAGCTGCCGAAGATCGAGGGAGAGTGGCTCAAGGGAAAGAAGGGAAACCCATTAGAATCCTCAGAGGAATGGCTTCACACAAAATGCCCCAGCTGCAATGGTCCCGCTCGACGCGACACAGATACCATGGATACTTTCGTGGACTCGTCCTGGTACTTTTTGCGGTTCTTGGACTCTGCTAACAAGGAAGCCCCATTCTCTCCTGCAGCGATGCAGCCGGTGGATGTGTATATCGGTGGTGTTGAGCATGCCATTCTGCATCTTCTCTACGCTCGATTCATCTACAAATTCCTCTCTCAGTCTGAGCTGCTCCCGGCTAGAAACTCTGCTGCACCCGCAGAACCATTCAAAATACTTCTTAGCCAGGGCATGGTCCACGGAAAAACCTTCAGTGAGCCTTCGACAGGCCGGTTCCTTCTCCCGTTGGAAGTTGATCTAACCAACACAGACAAGCCTCTGATAAAGGGAACACAAGTCGCACCTAATATTTCTTTCGAAAAGATGTCCAAGAGCAAGCACAACGGCGTGGACCCTACCACCACAACATCAAAGTACGGCGCGGACGCTACTCGCGCACACATCCTGTTCTCCGCGCCAGTCAGCGAAGTTCTAGAATGGGACGAAGCCAAGGTCGTCGGCATCGAGCGCTGGTTCGGCCGACTCTGGAAACTCGTTCAGGACACCCAGCAGACCCTAACGGAGGCATCATTCTCTGTCTCAGAGGCAGATCTGAAATCCTCTACCCACGCCGTTCCTCTCCCCTCATCACTACAGGACCTGAGCGACTCCGACGCAGACGCAATCCTAGCCACCCACAACACCATCGCATCCGTCACCACTTGCATCGAAAGCAACCCCTACGGTCTGAACACAGTCATCTCAGACCTAACCAAGCTGACCAACACCCTGGCCTCGACACCCGCCTCCTCTCCTCTCATCCTATACCTATGCATCTCAACCCTCCTCCGTCTGCTAGCCCCCATCGCCCCGGCCCTAGCCTCTGAATCATGGGAAGTCCTGCACACAACCAAAGATACCACCTCTACGACACCAGTGCTGTCAATACTTTCATCACCCTGGCCCAGCACCCTCCTCACACCCGATCAAGCCGAAACCCTCTCCTCCCGCGGCGGCCAAACGGTCGCCGTCCAGATTAACGGAAAGCTCCGCTGTGCTGTGACCATTCCGCGCATGGAGACTCCGGCGACAGCGGCTCCGCAGGGCAAGAATGCTCCTTCGCAGGAAGAACAGGACTGGATTGTCAGTCGAGTGTTGGAGACTTCTGAGGGGAAGTCGTGGCTTCGGGAGAAGAACGACTGGGAGAAGAGACGGCGGGTTATTGTTGTCAAGGGGGGTAAACTTGTCAATGTCGTTTTCTGATTTCCCTTTCTATATTAGATGTGGGATTTGTATTACTATTTGGATAGAGTTGTATATTATCTTTGGTAGGGACTGTACAGAGCTTTCTCTTCTCATTTGGTTTCTGTCTGTTTTGGCTGTACACATCACATAAATATATAGGAACAGCAAATAAAAACAAAGAAAGTACCCAATATGCTATCAGTCATGTCCAAGTCGAGGCTTTTCTCAGGCTGGGACGGTTGAGACTGCTAATTTCCATTTCCTTTATAATCCGTTGATCATCCCCTTCACCATTCTTCTGGAACAAAGTCTCCAACTTTACGATCGAATGGTCTGCCGCTGTGATTCCTCCTCCAGCTGTGAGATTCGCCTGTGCAGCCTATTTAGTTCGGAATTCGCTATAGCCATCAGGACGGTAATCTCAACAGAAGGCTTCCTAAGGAAGAAGATTGGGTGTTGGATGTTGCCCATATGGTTTAGATTTGGAACTTTACCTAATCAAAGGATAGTTAACTATGCACAGAGAAGTCGCCTGAGGTATCAGGGCCTCAATAGCTAACTAACTAACTAGTTATAGTTATCTACCGGAATCCTCCCTCTTTTCTTCTTTTCCGCTTCATAGATCTTTCATTCCATCATCTTCCATAACGTTTATATTCTTATAGAAGGGCCGCTCAAATGTTATCGAACTATTATATATAGAGACATATCAGAAAGCTCTTAGAGCCAAGAGGTTATGAGCGCCTTGCTCATGCCGTGAGGTCGAGAGCCAGTTGCGAAAATGGCGGGGTAACCCTCCCCTTCCCAGGTCATCGTTGCAATAAGAGCCGCTCTAACATCAACAGGATGCCTATTTTACAAAATCTACAAGAGTACCCGCCTTCGAGCAGTCACTCCGTACATTGACGAGGGTATTTCTAATAGTCACTTGGATTGGGATGGTGCTTCCAGCCTTGAGGATTTGATTACCAGCCCGACTTGACCGATGGAAGAGCCTGATTCTGGTCTACAACTACTTGGACCGTAACTCGCATAACCATGGCGTGCCAGCTCGGGGGATACTGTGCTTGTAATCGAGACCTCTCGTAATACAGAGAACGCTCCTGGCTGCCTTCCAAGGTTGGTGCTGAACCTATCTGCAATCGCCAGAGCGCATGGCTTTCGAGTCTCCTCCTGTGGTCTATCTCCCCGGCCTTCAGGCGTCGTCATACCGGCAGCGCCTCGTCTGTCTAAAATGTGCTGCGAAGATGCAGAGCGGCCAGGGGTCAAATGCTTGGATTACGTCTGATTTTAGACTGGCATAAATTAAAATACCTCCAGGGCTGTATAATAGAGGCCTTATCAAGCAAAGTACTAAGCCCTATTTAACTACACTACGGTTAAAGACTATCAACCTAATGAATAGCTGCATGTTTATCATCTAGAACAGTATTTTCACCGTTGAGAAATGAAATCGTGGTACTGGACTAGGGGATGTCCTGCTATGTCCCGTCTGGCCCTTACCGCACAACAGTATTCATGCTAGTCAAGCGGCGCTCAGTATTGGCACGACCATTGACAAAGTCAGGGTAGGCCAAGGTGAGCTCGACAGCACCAGAGACGATGTGGTCAACAGCTTCGACGCCCAGCATGAAACTGCACTCCGTTAGCATATATACCCACCAACGTATTTGTAGATGGTCGACTTACCTGTGATCTTGGTTACCGACTTCGTACTTCCACGAACCGAAGCGGCCACGCGAGAGAATGTCCTTCTGCTGCAAGTAAGGCAAAATATCATCCAGAGCACCGTTCCGCTCCAAGCTAGGAGTGGGGTAGCCGTGGTCGAAACGACGCACGTAGGTACTGACGATCTCATCCTCGGGCTTGAGCAAATCGGTGTTGATCAAACCCTGGATACTGTCGGCCAACAGGGTGCCATGGTTGACGGGCTTGTACTGCGACTCGGAGACCTCCAACATGATAGACCAGTATGGTCCTTCCTGTGGCTCAGAAGAAGCGGGTTTCCTGCCGTTGGCAAATTGCTTGGTAGGCAATTTGGCTGTCTCATTCGGCTGGTTGTTGGGAGAATAGTTGGAGAAGATGGTGGCACGGTAGAAGGGGCAGTTGTCCTCGGGGAAGTATAGCTATTGCTGTCAGATTCTATTCCTTTTTTTTTTTTTCCTTTTCCTGATGAGATTAACATACCCAGCACTTGTCTCCGACGCGGCTAGGAAGCTTGCCACGAACACCAACACCGATCACGTTGGTGGAGGAGTAGAAGAGGGGTTTGCACAGCTGCTGCAGCTTGGTATCGGCCATGGCTTCAGCCAGGTAGTCGACAGACATGGTCGAGATGAGAGATCCGTAGTGGACAACAGTTCCTGGCGATCTCCATTAGCTTAGCTTGCTGGCTGGCGACAATATATGCAGTTCCACCTACCGTCCTTCAGCTGGACCTTCTTGGCATCGGCATCAACCTTAACCACTGTTCCGTGCTCACCAAAGCGAGTGTTTTCCTTGGCAAGGGTGTTGGCCACAGCAATCCAGATACCACCAGTACCACCCTCAGCTGGGAACTTGAAAGTTGCATTAGGTCCCCAGTTGCCGGCCACCTTGTTAAGGATGACATTACTGGTCAACAGCTTCAGATTGGGGGCGGCAACACGCTCACCAAGCCAAGTAGCGTTCATCTTGCTTGGGGGCACAGCCCAGACCTTAAAGTTGTACGGCCGCATGAAGATCTCGTTCAGTCGCTCGCCAACATTACGGGTGTTCCAGACGTCGAAGTTCTCGGGTTTGTCGCTGGCCGGGCGGGCACGAGCCTCCAGGGCCGCGTCCATCAGACTGGTAATGCATTTGACTTGTTCCTCCTTGGGCAAGACGGAAATGTTGTTCTGGAACGGGTAGGGGACCCAGCGGCCCTCGTAGCGGACAAAGGAGACACGCTGGTGCTCGTACCAATCCTCGGCCTTAGGAAGGGCTTCATTGAGGCAGTCGTCAAAATACTTGTAGTGGGAGAAGATAACATGCCCACCGACGTCGAATAGCTGTGCAGCAATTAGTATCCGACCACCACGTTATGCTTGGTACATGACTTACGAAGCCCTCCGGGGTAATGTCGGTGGAGGCCAGTCCACCGGGGGTTTCGTTCGAGTCAATAATCAACCACGACGCGCTTTTCTAAATTTCGTCAGCAGTGGCCTTATATTCTCCATCTTTAGGTTTTAATTTATCCGCCTTACCACCTGCTGCAGACGCTTGGCAGCGCCCAGACCGGTCGGGCCAGCGCCGATAACCAAGACATCGACATCGCTGGGAACTGTGTCAGCAATCTAATTTCATAAGGCAGGGATAAAGCCAAGTACATTTCCTTAGAAGCCATGGCGAGAAACTTTGAGCAATACGCAGAGAAAGTGTGACGGTGTTAGGAGAAGTCAAGGACAGAGAAACAGAGAAAGGGCTAGGTATAAAAGACAGAGGCTATTAAGGAGACAGATGGTACACACGAACAGCGCTGCGCGTAGGTGCAGATCACGATAATCCTTTGGGGAAGCAATCTGTTTAGTTGGTACACCATGTAATTTCGGGATGTAATTTCGGGTAACGTGCAACTGTTTTACCTTCAAATCTTCATATCTCCATCTCTACATACATTCGAAAAGAAAGTCCTCCTACACCTACTACCTCTATAAAATAACTACGTAGGTATAGGTAACTCTATATATGTAGATTATGTACATAGCCAAGGATCTAGCCATGTTCCCGTCCGGCCCCACGTCTCAGATCGGTATCTCCGGAGCTCTGTCTCTTACCTGACGTGTTAAGTAGATAAATAATAGACGATAAAGGATTTTTACGGCTTATAGGGGTCTGATCTACCTAAGTATATACATCCACCTGGGCATGAATAACTATGTAGGGACATTATTAAAATAGGCAATGTTTACATTCGATTGGCCTCTGGCCCTTTATATCCCTGCTCGACTGAGCCGCAATCTTAACCCCGAGCTTGGGTGTCCGAGTCGGTGATAGTGAAACTCAATAAAATCACGGCCATCATGCGTCGTGTACATCGACAAAAAGGGCGCCACGTTTTATCTTGATATATGAGGCCAGCCCGCTACAACACTAAGATAGGGAAAAAAGACAACCAAAAAAGACACCAAAAAGGACGTAGTGAAGCTATTCTCATCTAAAGTACATATGTTCTCGATCACGCGTATTCTTTTTAAATAGCTGTTTCCCCACTTCTCCACATCTACGGATCTCCATCCACCATCGACTATCCACCACCCACCATGACAAGCCACCTCTGAGAGGATCAAGGTTGTCGCCCATCAAAAGTGATCTGTCACAGCGTCCAAGATCCCCCAAATCTCTCAGACTTCGGAAGTCAACAGCATCAGACTTCCTCGAATCCAAAAACACAGCATTGGAGGATGAAACAGCCTACATCGCTGACATCAAAGCCAGACTCGATGAAGCCAATTCCAACAGGGCTCTCGAGAACGCTGAGTACAGACTCCAAGTTTCGACGCCACACCTTTCGACACCACACCTTTCGACATCAACAACACATCGAATATCAACAATGAGCAACAACCAGAGCCTCCTTTCTGAGGAAGGCCAATGGTTTGCGCGAGAAAAAGCACAGAGAGTCGCCCACCTACACCCCGGCGACGCTTCCATTCTCCGCCCAGCGTCGAAGCTAACAGAGAGGCAATTCATAGCCTTTAGGGCAGTCTGGCCAGCCAAACTTAAGGCCTTACTGTTCCCTTTTCCGAACTGGAAAACGAAGCAGAGTTGAAATAGAAAAGTGAAACACCTTGACAAGTTTACTACGTTTCAGACATTCCTCAGGCAAATCCGTGAGAGGACCCATCAAACTGGGGGCCTTTGCTCTTCTTTTGGACCGATCTGATCAGATCAAGGCTGGTCAGGTTGACGAATCGGACTCGATCACTCTACGAAGATGTCCCCATGATCATGGCAATCCTACATATACTTTCCCTTCCCCCTCTATGGGTACTCGAGAGAGCTTACAGAGATATCGTCACACGAGTTACGAAAGCCAAGGGAAGCCAGCCGGCCTCAAATTAGTGCCTACGAATCTGGACCGGGAAGAATTAGGACATCTTTTTGGTCACAGGTCACAGTGACCAAGGCGCCGTGACTACCCTCCCCCAAAATGGTCAGACCATTTTCTCCCTCCGTTCGATCAGGACTTTAGCTAACCAACCCTTAGGGCTCTCACTTCATTGCAAAGTCGGCAAAGTCGGTCCTCGACCAAGGGGATATTGCAATCATTCCAACCAGATCTACAAGGATTCTAGCATTCCAGGGATGTCCAAGCTGGCATGATTCTGGCCAGTGATATCAAGATGCGCAGCGTGTTAATTGTGCAGGACCTGACCTTGTAACCAAGTCGACGAAGCGGCTTTGAGACCCTTGACTGGAATTTTTATTCGTATTTTATGTTGCTGTACCTATGTATCCGTAGCCTGATAAAATTTCATTTTTATTCTGTTGCTATAGCCAGATACAATAGCAAGTTCAGGGGTTCGACCTTCAGGATAGAATCCAAGTAAATCCTTTAAGTTCTAGGTACGGACTGCTAACTAGTTAACTAACACGGGAATCCTCTGGGGTATCATATAAGAATTATAAGACTTTGACAAGGACAAAATCATCCATTACCCAATCCACTCCCTTCAGGCCCCTCCTGGACAGAAGATCTCTCACGCCCTCCAGCCAGCTGCGTCTCACCCGTCGGGAAACTGAGATACTTCCAGTCCTCAATCTCCTCGATAATACACTTCAACCGATCCCGTACACTCTCAACAGCATACGTGCCCAGAATCAGCCTCAGAGGCGGGTAAGAACAATGCCCAAGCTGCCAGACCAAATGTGCCGCCTTAACCGCACTAGCAGGCTGCTTATCACCCAACCACATGAGCATACGACGCGCATGCGCCGCAGGAGACGTAGTCGTATTATACGGCTCACTGGGCGGTTTAACCAAGAAATGCCCGTACAGCGGCAAAGGCGAGGAAAGCTGATGTTCAGAGGGGTTATGAGCGAGCGCAGACGAAGAAACCAAATCCCCAATATCATCACGACGCATATGACCCGGCTCAACAAGCGTACCCTTAATATTGAAGCTGTCTACTTCATACAGCATACTCTCCATCAAGCCCTCGACGGCGTATTTGGAAGCGCAGTATGGCCCAAGCCCGGGCACGCCGAGGGCGCCAGACGTTGAGCTGAAAATGAGATATCTCCCCGCGCGACGCTGACGGAAATGCGGCAGCGAGAGCTGGATCATGTTCAGGGTTCCTGTGAAGTTTGTTTCGAATTGGTTGCGGATGTCGAATTCATCTTGGTCTTCGCAGGCGCCGATGACGCCGTAGCCGGAGCAGTTTGCGATTATGTCGATTCGGCCGAAGTGGGTGATTGTCTGGTCGATTACGCGCTTGACGGTCTCGCGTGCTCGTACGTCGCATAGGAGTCCGATGCAGTTGGCGGACTCGAGTTCTTTCATTGCTGCGGGGCTGTTCTCGTATGTGCGTCCGACGGCTGCTACGAGGTCGTTATTTGTGAGAGCGGTTTTTACTAAGGACCGGCCCATGTGGCCGGTTGCGCCGAAGATCTGGGAAGGTGTGTTAGTGTGCGTTCCGGGTGGTTTTTGTGGGGAGGGCTTGTATACCAGCCATACGAGGGGTTTGGCGGGATTCTGGGGGCCTGGTGGATCGGTTGTTGAAGGGAGATGGAGTCTTGGTTCGCGCGACGCTGGAGATGAGGGCGCTCCTTTTGGGGAGGTCTGCTCCATGTTGCGGGCTCAGATGAGGGGAGAAAGAGGAAGATGAATCTCTCCGCATTTGGGGTTCTCCCTCTATACGGATGGCTGTAGCGACAACTGCGAAATAAGTTACGCGCTGACTGTTATCCTTTCTGATTTTTTTTTAAATTGACTCTTAACTGCAGGCTCTACTTGATATAATGCTATTCCATTACCAATATACACACTAAAAAAACAATTATCGTCCCACCTCCCGTCGCAGCCGTCCCGCAGCCGTCGAAGGTCCTGGTTCGGGCCAGCTGCCCACTGCATCGTCAACCTCTTCTAAGAAGGTTGTACTATTGTGAATGGAAGTGCCACCTAGAACGACTCGCACACCCGGGGAGCTGGCATTGACCTGCGCTACCATCTTGGCCTCCTCGTATGTGGTGCCGCCAACCATAAAGATGATGATGTCTTGCGGCTTATCCCGCGTGTGTCCGCTACCCTCGAGGAAGGGGTATTGCAGTTCCTTCAGGCGGCCTTTGATGAGATTTTGGAGAGTCACTTCCAGTCGGGGGGAGTGTTGCGTGTAGACATTCTCAACACCTTTAAGGCCCTTGAAGCGGCTGCTTGCGCCGGAGAAGAAGGAGGTTGATTCGAAGAGGTCGGAGAACCCACCTGCAACTGGTGGGGCTTGGAGGGAGTGGTGATAGGCAAGCAGCTTGGGGATGATATTTACGCGGTTAGATGAGACTTCGCCCGCTGTGACGAGGAGATCAAGGAGGATTGGCAGCGCGTTGTTGGGCTGCTTCTCATAGCGAAGGGCGTAGAGAGCCACCAGTCGCAGCTTATTATCTGAGGGCACATTTGGCAGCCCGATAATTCGTTGTAGTGACTGGAAAACAGTGAGTCCGTGAGCAAGGCATAACCAGTTTAACCTTTGAACATACCTTAAGATCATTGGAGTGGTTATCATTGCACGCCAAGCTCTGCTCCAACTCGCTGACGTCGAGGAGGGTATCCTCGCCGACTCGGCGACTGAGTTCGCCCACCAGGGTAACGTGCTTGCTCACATTACCTGCCAGCTTGCGGAATTCGGGATAATCCTCCACAAAACGTTTCATGTCCGCAATGGACTCGATATTCGCAGTGCTTTGAGTTTTGGTCTGGTACTGTTCCACATATTCTTTAATGTTTTGGCCCAGATCACCAAAGTTCTGATACATGTTCTTCTTGAAGAACGGGTCCTGGTCCTGAGCCAAGACAATCTCTTTCAGTTCTGGTCGGATGTCTGGCACATCCTGTAGATCTACGCGGCCATTGTTGATGCCAAGCATCTCGTGCACCATAGCCTGGTACGTCCACTGGGTCAGCAACGGGGTGATTGGATCATCGCGCCGGTCAAGAACGAGCAGAATTGGCGGTGTATCCGTCCGGCGGAAGTTAAATAACTGCTCCTCCTGCGTGATATGGTATCGGACCTCCGTCGCCAATTTCCGGGCCAATAGGCTGTTCTTCTCATAGCGAATAAGCGGGTTCTTCTTCAACGCGAGGAGCAGGGCCAGGACCCCCTCCGTTGCTCTTTGTAGTGAATCCGGGTT